CAACTCCTGAGGACCAGATTTCCATTATATGACATCCCAAGTCTCTTATCCACTTCTGTTCTTCCTTCTTCAAAAAAAAAATCTGTTGGCCATTTCACTACTAATGTCCAGTATCATCTGAAAGAGGCTAAGAGAATGAATGTGTGTGTGTGTGTGTGTGTGTGTGTGTGCGCGCGTGAGTGTGTATGAAATGTTCTGAGGAAGAAAGAGTTGAATATGCTAGCCGTGTTTCTGACTAGCATGAATATTTTTAATAGCTCCGTTTCTTTGACTAGATTCCCAGGCAGAAAGATAAACAGCACAAAGAGAAATCTGCCAAGCTATTCACAAAAATAAAGAAAGCCAGAAAGACGGGAAATCTTGACGGCAGATGGAGAAAGGAATCAAGAAAGAACATTGATAACAGGAGGCGAAGCTCTAAGATATCCAGGGGGGAAATGGACAGAGCACAGACAACAAGATCTAGGGTAGTACTACCCTTGGGCACACACCAGTGAATTTCACATTTTTTTCCCCTTCAAAAAGTCCTCCCACAAGAAACACAAAACAAGATGTGCTTCTTGGCAGAGTTTACACATGCTACAGATTTCTTTCTCATTCTCTTCCGAAGAACTTTCCCCCTTGATGTAAAGTTAATGGACATAGTATATTCCTATGGTATAAACATTCTCCAAGACCAGAAGGCTATGCGGTAATCTTCATTAGCCTTACAACCAAAATTGACAACAATGAAACTACCGGCATATTCTGGGGGGATTTAAGAGATTTGTGCTGGTGTCGTTGTGTAGCATACACAACGTTGTATGAAATGTCGTTGTGTGAAATGCCACAGATGTCATTCTACGTGCATGGCTGGGATTGGGAAATTAAAATCATTTAGCTCTCTGTCAGGTGAAGGTCAGAGGCAGAGATTCTGAAGAAAGAGCTGACAGAGATAAGGATTTGACCTTAGGTCTGACAACGTTTGGGCCGGCCCGCAAGCCTGTATCGTCTCCGTTTCCCAAAACGTGTGCCGTGAACACCCGTATGGCGGTTGTACAAACTCACCCGTGAAAACGTCAACACGTGGCAAGATAGAACGTGCGCTGCAAGGTAGTCGACGGAGGGCAAAATAAAAGGCTTTGCCCCCTACATACGGTCATCATTCATGGTCTTTCTATTGTCCCAAAGGGGAAATGAGCCCGGTAATTCTATTATTCTGAAGAGACGTCAAAGTTACCATGTCTTTAGTTTCAAACACTGACAATCTTCTCTAAAATTCCATAGTGAGTTGGGAGACCTACTCCGCTGATAGTCCGGCAATCGCATGGATTTCCCAAGCTGACTCAGTCATTAAAGGAGACATTTAGGAGGATATTCATTGATTAATTCACAGTTGTCCTGAAAACACTTCTCTCAAACGCAGCTATCTTACTTCTACCTTTTTCCGCCGTACAGACTTGTAGTTCTGCACTGGGAGCGAAGATGACGTTTGTCTCAGAACCTCTCACGGGGATCATGCTGGTCCCGGAAGGAGCCACTCAGCAACCCTTTCTTGTACTCTCTGATCCCGCAATAGACCTAACTCGGCGGCTTCAGGTCATTTTCACCCCTTAGTGAATTTATAATTCTGCTGGATGCCTTTGGTAGTGAGGTCATCACAGGATGCAAGAACCCGGCGTCCAGACGGGAGTGTGGTCCCAGGCCTGGTGACAAAAAGGCAGAAAGTAAAGCTGTCCGGGCCCATCCCCAAGCGCATAGGAGGAGCGAGGAGAGAAAATTCCACATAAAAACGGCAATGCATACCTACGTCTCCACTCCCCCGCCCCCACCCTGAGGTCGGGGTCTCCTGGGCAAGCAGTTTGGTAGATGATTTGCAAGGAGGCAATCTGCCACTTCCCTTCGGTCCTCACGTTTGCCGAACGCGAATTTGGGGGAGAGGTCAAATTTAGAACTTAGTGTTCTCATCAGTAAATCCTAAGAGGTAAGTGAAGAGGGACCCCAGAGATGATAAAGCTGTGTGGCAGAATATAACAAGTGTATATTCACACCGTTTCCCATTCTATCAATATCTTGACCCCAAACAGAGCCTTTGGGGTCTCTTTCCGGCTCCCTGCACATGAGATGGCTGCTGGCCTTGAATCGCTTCTCAGCCTCCACCCCCACATCTGAAATATGAAGATAAAGATCTCACCTTGAAATGCAGTTGGGAAAAACCAAGAAGACAAAACATGCAGATCCACTATGTAAACTGAAATGTGCCAGACACACACTTTGGGTATCGGTGCACACTTGAAATCCTCAGAGATTTTGAATCCGCTATTTTCTAAGCCGGTAATTCCCAGCAGGCACACCCTCAAAGGATGTGACCTATATGACTATATCTATTATCTATATCTACATACATTCTTTCACAGTAAGCACCTGGTTTCCAAGATCAATCTATTTACTTACCTGTCGATACCATAATAGGTCTAAAACAGTTGCAGCCTTGACTCAGACATTCACAACGAAAAGCAAACTGCTGAATAAAGAGTTGAGGATTTGCTGGCCCTTAGCGTCCCCCCCCCCCCAAGACTGAGGCTTCTGGTCAACTCTGTTCCTAAATTAGCTGACTGTCTCTTCTCTCCGGCTTAGTGTGGTTTTGTGATTCATTTCAAACAAAGTTGTATTCGTGAGTTTCAGCTTGCTTTCAGTTCCATTGCCTTTCCACTCTTGTTTGTTTTCTTTTCGAATTTTGATAGAATATTAACATGTCTGAAATCTCAAAACTATACAAAAAATAATCTCGGAAAAGTGTCCTTTTTCATTTGTAATTTTTTTTTTTTTTTTTTTTGCATTGTTGGAGCTGTATCTTCAGGCAAATTTCTAGAAGCAAGATTTCTGGGTAAGAATAAATGCATATTCAGTTGTGTTAGACAGTGACAAATTCCCCCCTATAGGAAGCACACCATATTCGTCCCCACCAGCAATGTATGTTTCCAGACAGCCTTGCCAAGATCAAGTAAACCAAGATCGAGTAAACTGCTCAGCTCTTTTGTCTAAATAGATGGTTGAGAAATGGCATCTTAGTGGTATTAATTTACATTTTTCTGACTCAGAGTATAACTGAACATCTTTGACATATAAATATTATTTTAGTATCTTTTTTGTTAATTTTCTATTCGTGAATGACTAGTATCCGTTTTTCTGTATGAGTTTTGATCCCTTTCCCTCAATATATCAAAGTTCTTTATATATTAGGTGTATTTTTCCCCAGTTGGTCATTTGTCTTTTGACTTTATATATGATGCTTTCTGCCGCAGAACGAGGGGTGTTTTTTTGGGGGGAGAGGGGGTAAGGTAGGCAAACATATCAATATTTTCGTTTATTGCATCTGGATTTTTCATTGTTGTTAAAAACATTTTCTTACAGTCAGGCTATAGAAGAACTTACCTTTCTTTCTTTTAGATCTCATACAATTTAATTTTTGCATTTAGATCTCTAACTCATTTAGGGTTTATTCTTGAAGATGTGTGGGAAGTGGACCTAAATTCATCTTTTTCTCTATGACTCTCCAGTTATTCCAATGTCATTTATGAAAAAGTCCTTCTTTGCTCCCAGTGATTTGAGACACCACCTTTATATTTTGCTAGATTTCTTATGTATGGCTGGGTCATAGGAGGACGGTCGTGTTGAAACGTCCGCATTGGGACTGTCTGGCGTATTATACAGTTTTTATCCCCAAGACAGGATTAAACAATTATGTTTAAGTTTACCTCTATTCCCCTCCACCATTTTTTTTTTTTAAGACAGAGAGTGTGAGCAGGGAGGAGGGGGAGAGAGAGAACCTAAGCAGGTTCCACACTCAGTGCTCAGAGAGTAGCCTTACTGGAGGCTCTATCTCATGACCCTGGGATCATGACCCGAGCTGAGGTCAAGAGTCGTATGCTCAACTGACTGAGCCATCCAGGCGCCCCAAAGGTTATTAATTTCTATTTATTAATTGTGTGTCCTCCTTATTTACTAAGATTTGATTAAGTTAGTTTTATTGTTACTCTTGGATTTTCCAGGGATACTAACATGTACTATCCTGTCACCCGCAAAGAGAGGTTTTTTGTTTGTTGGTTTGTTTGTTTTCAGTTCTTTCACTTCTGATTGTTTTCTCTGGGTTAATTACATTGCCCCCAAGTTTCTAGAACAGTGCTAAATAGTAACAGATACAATGGAACGTCTTGCCTTGTTCCTAAACTTAATAAGAATGGCTCTAGTGTTTGCCAATTAAGAAAGATTTTAGAATTAGGATTGAGCATGTACTTATATTTATATGTAATCTATGATATAATATAAATTCAGTGGAACCAGTGGAACCCATAGGATATACATAGATTTCTTTTAAGGAATTGGCTCATGCAATTGGGGGGTTGGAAAGTCCAAAATTTGTAAAACAGACCAATATGCTGAACACTCGGGCAGAAGCAGATGCTGTATTCTTGAGACAACATTTCTCCTTTTCTAGGAAACCTCAGTTTTGCTCTTAGGGCCTTTACCTGATTAGATGAGACCCACCCACATTATTCAGAATCATCTCCTTCACTTAAAGTCAATTTATTGTAGATGATAAGCACATCTGAAAAATGCCAGCCTCGCAGCAACAGCTGGATCGACGTTTAATGAAGTAACTGGGCAGTACGGCTCAGCCACACCGAAAAATTGAACCGAACACGCACGAGCTTGCCTCTTACTTCTCTGTTCAGTGATTTTCTCTGTCACTCTTCTTCTTTTCTACTGTATCTTAACTTTATTCTCTTGGCTGTTTTCCTTCACATTTTCTTTATTGGCCTTTCTTAAATTTGGAGTCAAATCTATTCTATTCTTGTCACTAAGCTTTCATTTCTTATACGATTGTGTCATTCTCTACTGTTGCTTTCCTGAGTCCCTTTAACTCCTGTGTTGTATCTTTTTGTTGTGTGCCCCACTTCTAGTTTTAAGGGTTTGATCTAGGGTATTTTCTTGTATCTTCAAATGCATGTTTGGGTATATTTAATCCAGTTTCAATTGTTGTGTTACAATGCCCTCCTGCCTCGTGGTTGATTCTTTTTTTTCCAGAGAATTTTCATCAGCTTTTATGTGTTGACTCAGAGTGTCAATTTTCCTACGATAGTTTTGTACGAATACGACCTGCATTTTCTATTCCTGTTCATCTCATGGGAAGGATTTTCAGTTCGAGAGCGTACTTTTTTGTGTGTCTCTTCTGCACGGTTTCCTTAATGGGCGGTGCTGGCTGCGGTGCTGAGAAGACGGACGGTGTGGAGGGTCTGTCATTAGTTCCTTTTGTGAGACTCCTTCACCCCCACCTGGTTTCCTTCTGTCCTTCGCTGCCCTGTTCCGGGTGGCCACCGTGCCTTCTTCGTGTGTTCTGCCTCTTCTCCAAAAGGAGCCCGTCTCGGGGGCTGCTCACTTCCCTCGAGCAGGTGCTGGGAGCCCCACGTCCTGACCTGTAATAAGCATTTTAGCGTTTAGTGTTGGCTTTTCCCTTCAGAGGTGATATTTTCTTTCCTTTCACCAAGCCATCTCAACCTGTCTTCTGCTTCTTTATTTGTTATGTTTATTTATTTTCGAGACAGTGAAAGAGACAGTGTGAGCGGAGGAGGGGTAGAGGGAGAGAGGGAGACACAGCATCCGAAGCAGGCTCCAGACTCCGAGCCATTAGCACAGAGCCCGACGCGGGGCTCGAACCTATGAACCGTGAGATCAGGACCTGAGCCGAAGCCGGACGCTTAGCGGACCGAGCCCCCCAGGCGCCCCTGTCCCCCTTCTCTTTTTACCCATTTAGCCTTACGTTTCTCCTAACAAGAAGCTGAGATCATGAGAAACCTGAAAAGGACTTTAGTGATGGGGGAAATGGAGCCCCATAACAAAGGCGTTGTGTATGCCTAACTCAAAATAAGATAATACTACTCTTCTCTTGGGGTGGTTATGAAGACTGACTAAGGCCATTAACACTAAAGCACCTGCTGTCATTTAACCGGTCACTGGAAATCGTCCTTCGAGGGTCTCCCGGCAGGTACGCGGCCTTGACGCTCTTCGCTGGGCTGTGTCCTCAGAACCCGCGAGGTGGGGCGTTAACAATTACTTCAAGTTTTCACTTAGCCAAAACCTGTTTTTTAAGGCAAGTTATTCGAATGTCTGGAATACAGCGTCACTAACCAACGCACATAGGTATCCGCCAACCCAAATACGGAAGTGGAAGGAAACCCAATAGCCTCACGCTAATTCTGAGCACATCATCGGCCTCGGTTACTGATCATTCTGCCAAGAAGGAGATGAGAGGCAGCGTTTGAAACCCGGAAAATTCCCTAAAGCAATCTTCCTGGCACAGGGATTTATGGGTCAGAGTGAGATTTTCCCTTCCCGCCTCTAAATCAATGTAGAATCTCATATTGAAAAGCAAAGCCACCAAGCTCCTTCAGAAGCCATTTTCTTTCTTCCCTCCTCTTAGTTTTACCCCCCATCTTCCCCTCACTCACCCCGACCCCCACCCCCCAAGACCCCCTCGCCCCTCAGGACCTGCCTCCAGTTCTCAATAGCGGCCATGACTGGGTCTCAATGAAAAAAGATGGATAAAATATTACCATAACCTCAGAGGCATGAGCAAAGCCCTTATTAGAATTCGGACCTACAGCTGCACCTTCCAGCATGGGGCGGGAGATAAAGTTCACCATTGTTAGCTCACAAGTGGCTCCGATTTCCTGGCAACTGCACTAAATTACTCAGTCATTTATGCAGGCCTTCAGAAACAGTCCACTGTTTCCCAACAAAAAAGGCATTCAGGAAGAGAGAGATGGCTCCCGGGGCCCTGGCGAGCCGGCTTTAGGACAGTGAATGGTCGCTGCCTCCCAAGTCAATGGCCTCTGTGGGAAAGGCAATGATGTCACCGCGAATGTATTTTCGGGGTTTTGCCCTGCTTTTTCCTGCTTTCTCCCCTTCTTAGGACGATGCCCTGGTTTCCTTTTTCTTCCCCCTCTTTTCTCTCTCCTGCCATCTCCCTCCTCCCGCTTCTTTGAGGCCATTCTTTTTTTTCTTTCTCCCCCCCCAAAGTTTAGAACTCAAATCCATTCAAGGCGCACAGCAATGCCACTCCCATGGCAACACTGGGCTTCTACGCTTCAGTTTTTGCATAAAAAGTAGAAAATGCTGGAAAGGGAGGGCAAGGGTGGAAGGGGGAACGGAGCCAGCCTGGCCCCACAGGGGTTGGTGTCGGGTGGGAGAGCACAGAAGCAAATCGGGAGGAAAACTGGTGAGGCCGGCGGGAGACTGGGAGACACCGATGTGTGAGCCTCCGCGTTCAGACTTCAAACACGGATCTGGCTTCTGCCGAGGAAGAAAAACACAGTGTGCGCAAGAAATAAGGTTTTGCTTTTGAAAACGTACCCAATTACAGTTTACAGAGAGCTCCCCAAACTTTGTCTAGCCTTCTCAAAGAGAAACAAAAAGGAGAGGAAAAGTCTCGCAAGGACTCGAGTGGGGAGGGGGCAGAAAACAAGTTGACGTGTTTTTGAGAACGCCCAAGGTTCTGGAGGCCCCTATTGTCACAGGGCCACGATCAGAAAGTCTAAAGTGCCGTTTGTGTCAAATCATCTCAAATTCATTGACGGCAAATAGAAAGAGGCATTCATTCCTCTGCTTTCCTCTCCTGGGGAATACAGTTACCTTGAACTCCTGAAAACAAAACAAAACAAAGCAAAACAAACAAACAACAAAACCCCAAAAACCAAATACCAAAAAACAAAAACAAAAAAAACCCAAAAAACCATTACACGGCTATGCTTTATGTTCATCCTATCAAAAACCAGATACCAAACAATCTGGTAAAGGCAGCTTCTGGAAAACCCAAGTAATTGGTCCCATGAAAACCAGAGCTAGCTGGTTGGGCCATTTGTCACGCAGACATCGATCTGCCTTTTCCCTTCCGTCCCAGGAACCCAGGGTTCCTCCTCTTTGGTATCTACCACCTGACCTGTGTGAGCCTGCATCCAATTCCTGAGTTCTTGGCGACTGCTTCTAATTCTCTCTTCTACCTACTTCGCCCATATTAATCAGCTGTGGTTTAAGCACTGTGTTTTCCATGTGTGTGTGGGGGGGGGGGGGAACACAAATCTAGTGGATTCAGAGTCCTTTTTAGGAATGGAAACATTAGTCAAGGGAGACTGAGCCCTCAAGAAGGAAGGGATGGTTTGTAGTATCTGCTGACAATGGGGGATCACCTCTGCTCAGGGACCCACCCATGGTGTGGCCAAGATTTCCTCTTGGTCCTTCTCTTCCTGTCCCCTTGGAGAAGCCTCAGAGCTTACCCTCATCTGAGGGCACCCCTAACTGATCGTATCCCCTTCCTCTTTACCCATCCTGCATGGGTTAGATGATGGTCAGCAGAGGTAATCAAGCTGAGATGAGGCCATTAAAGTGAGTCCCCATCCAATATGGTAGGGGTCCTTATCAAAAAGGGCAATTTGGGGACAGACACGCACAAAAGGAAGGTCGTGGAAATGGTGGCCATCTACAGACCACATGTCCTGGTTAGGGGGGAAGTCGTTGATAATGTGATGATTCAAACATTTGAAGAATACAGAGGGAAGAGTGTTATGAGGACAGCAGAGCTGGCTGGCGCTTATGAAGTGGCAATGATATCTCAGAGATGGGTATGAGTAAATGAGGGGGGTTAACACTTCAAGGCTAACCGTATAAGGGCCAGCAGGCCTGTTTGGTAGCTTACTAAGATGCTCTGCAGTAGAAAGGACGATGTACCTGGAAAGCAGCCTCAGGACTTCCTAGCTGGAGTTGAGAGTTCCATTGATGTTTAACTACTCACACAAGTCAGGTCTGATTATTCTAGGGAGATGTCCCAGTGGAGAAAAGATAGAATATCCTGAGTCGAGGGATGGGAACATCCGGACGGATGGCCCTGAGCATTTTTGCTCTGCGGACCCTGAAATCTCCAAGCTTGTGGGTTTCCGTGCCATCTTTAGCCTGATCCCACGCAGGAAGACGCTGCAGAAGCCCCTCCCTGCAAAAGCTTCCGGTGTTCAGGTGCCACACAAGCTGGGCCCCCCCCCCCCGCCACCTAATAAAACAACAACCTGTCTTAAAATAATATATCTGGGAGCAACCCAGGCAGAAGCAGTGGGTATGAGTGAGCTTCCCGAGCCTCTTTGGGCTTGAGTTTGCCTCTCTTGTCCATAAAGCCTCAGCCACACCAATATCCACCGACTTGCCCTCGGCCACAGGACCCGCTTCACCTCAAAGTGGGTGTGGGAGTGGGCCCGTGACCGTGGAATCCACCGCCTGTATCACAAGCCACAGGGTCCGGAGGCAGTCGACTTCCTGCAGCCCTGGAACATCCTGCTGGTGGAGCCAGCCTGGAGGCCACGCTCTGCACGGGTGAGGTGCCAAAGCAGGACACGGTGTGTGCACGATTTAGGGCCCCCTCTATGGCGGGATGTCTTCCACAGTTAAGACTACGTGGACGGAGCGGAAGTGAAAGCACAGACCCATTTAGTATCACTTCCCATGACCCATCGAAGGAGTCCAGGCTTCCATCCACGCAATTCTGGAATCTGCAAGGTGGGAAGGTCACAGAAGAGGTTCCGTCGCACCACAAGCTGTGGCTGTTGCTTAGACAGGCGAACTTCTTACCTCCAGGCACCGGAGGGGAGAAGAGGCATCCCTTCCCTGACGAGGGAGGTGCCCCTGCGCAATCGGTGAGGGGTGGGGGGCTGCTTTTCCACACCGGGGCAGGGACAGTGCGTGCAGAACTGGGAGAACCCAGTTATGACTGTGCACAGGCGCACGCCCTTGCACGTCCTTGGCCAGAGAAGGGGGTGGCTACCGAGGGTTCAGAGCCCTCGGGAATGAAGCCGCGAGGCATCCCACCAGGCAGGCCGCAGCTGCAGGTTGAATGGTGTCCCCCAGAAAGGTATGGTAGGGTCCTGACCCCTGATACCGGAGGGCATGATCTCATTTGGAAATAGTGTTTCTGCAGGTGTAAGCAAGTTCAGATGAGGTCACACCGCATCTGGGTGGGCCTCATCCAACACGATTGGTGTCCTTATAAGAAGAGATAGGAGACGGGACGCGGCGACCTGTGAAGACAGAGGCGGCACAGGTGGGAGTGAGGCGTCTCCAAGCCATGGGGCGCCTGGGCTTCCAGAAGCCGGGTGGGGCAGGACGGATCCTTCTCTGAAGGCCTCAGAGGAGCAAGACCCGGCTCCCCCCTTGGTTTTGGGCCTCTGGCCTCAGGAACTGGACCGAATTTCAACTGTTTTAGGGGCCCCGGGTTGTGATACTCCGTCGCAGCAGCCACAGGAAAGGAACACAGCCCCCCAGGGCGGCTGAAGTGCTTTCTCGGGGTAGGGAGGACAAGGTGCTGTCCCCAGCCCGGTGGCAGTTTGTCGCAGGAGCCCCTCTCCTGCGTCCCTGCAGAAAGAGCCACTCCGGAGTACCCTGAGACGCGCTCCCAGGATGTGCAGGAGAAGCGGATCGGCGCAGCTCGGGGAGGGACAGCCAGGCCCTGAGGTGCTCCACCCGGGTCCCCCTCCAAGAGTGCCAACGGCACAGGCGACGGGTCGCCTCCAGCTGTCGCACACCACCATCTGTGTGGTGACTGTGCCACGGATTTGCGCCCCTGGGCTCTCCCAGTCCACAAGGGAGCACAACCAGGAACGAGGTGGAGGTCCTTTCCGCCTTGACCGGCCACCTCATGCCTTTTCTGGAGCCACGCGCTTCCTCCTGTCCCCTGACAGGGGCCCGAGCCGCCTCACCGGCTGGTGCTCCCCTCCCATCCCCTCCCAGCCCACCCCCGACGCTCCCTTATAAATCTTCCTCAAGCGGGATGCTCTCTCCCGGCACTTGCCTCTCAGAGGACAGGAATGAATACCAGGAACGCTTCTGTCATGCTGTCACTCACGAAAACATCTCATTGTATATCAAATCCCTGTAAGCTCATAGGAGCTGATCTTCTGCTGTCATTGACTCACTCAAGAATATACAAAAATAGCTAACACTCCAGGGCTCGGAACCTGCAGAAGAGAGCGCAGGCAGATTAATGAGCTGCGCCCACCTTCTGAGTTCTCTTGATTAGTTCAGACCATT